TTGAACTTGGTACAAGCTATAGCTATGGTACTTAAGCGCTGCAGCCAATAATATTTCCACTTGTTGAGGATCTCAATAATTTTGTCTCATGTGTAGCGATGTGCAGACGGCAATATTGCCAAATGGCAATATTCCCATGTTAGGAATATTTACAAGGTCTGTTTAAGTTGCCAAAATTTGGGAATATTTAAAGCGGCAATATTGCTGGAAATGTGGGAATATTTCCACAATTATGGCAACATTATCGGCAATCTTGCCCACATTTTATTAGCTGAGCAAGAGTCCACAAAAACGATGACCAAAAAGTATAAATAGACTTTACTTGATAACCAGTTTTGGTCACATTTGGAGAACCTTCGTAGCCTTTTGCAACCAATTGTGCACTGGATCACATATTTGGAGGGTGACTAAAATAGTATTCACGTAGTGTGGTGGGCATTTTTTTAAATAGAAAAAAAGCTGTAAGACTTATTGCCTCAGGCCTTGAAGTCCTAGACATAAGTAGAGTTAATTCGGCAGAAATTTGAAGACAGAAAGTTATATGCCTTAAAGCCTATTAATTTGGCAGCTTGTCTCCTGGATCCCAGAAGCCAGGGATTAATAATGACAGCACAACAAATTGACAGTTGTGAAGGAATATGTCAAATCGGACGAAACAAATAACATTGATGATCAAAATCCTATGGTAGAACTTGCTATGTACAGATATCGAGAGGGAATTTGGAGAGAGGAGTTTGTTTGTAAGACTGCTGATAATGAAAGAATAAGTGCTTTGTTATGGCGGAAAACCTTTTATCAAAATACTGACCTAGGAAAGGTTGCAATAAGAATTTTAAGTGTGCTCTCAACATCTGCCTCTGTGGAAAGATCCTTCTCCACGTTCTCATTTGTACATGATAAGAAGCGACATAAACTGAATACCAACAGATCAGGAAGACTATACTACTTTGCCCATAACTGGCAAGTTATGCACAGAAGGAAGGCACCAGGTATCAATAAGTCAATCAAAATCACAACTGGTAATAATACTGAGTGAACTTCACGACCACAGCAAGCAAAAAATATAGTTTCAGTCATCGGCAAGAACCTTAGAATACACTAGTATAATGGAAACTGTTGACAATGATAACACTTCTACTGCATCGCCTTCATCATGCTCCTATACATCAGGGTCGGAATCAGAAGCAGGATCTGAGACATAGTTCCCGGGTTCAAAATCACCATGCGCGAGCACGAATTACACGATATATCATAATCCCATAATTTTAAGGTTTCAGATAAGTTTGGTAATAATGAGAGGAACTCGTTTTTAGTTTAATATTTTATTTTTGTTGATTTGTGTCTTATACATTATAATAAAATATGTATTACTTTATTCGCTTTTATGCTTATACCTTCAATTATATACAACAGTACAACATTTAATTGATTTTCAGCTTTAAACATAAAGTTGCCCTGAGTTGCCACCTTTGGGCCATGTTGCCGGCAATATTATCCATAATATTGCCTTGGATTTAAATTGCCGGCAAACGCACAATGCTACTCATGTGACGGCACATGAAGCGCAACAGATTGAGGGGAAAATCTGTAGTAATAGATAGGAACTATTTTCGCAATATGGGGTCTGAACAAAGTATTTGGCCAAACTTCTGAAGATTCTATGAGATTCGTAAAAAAAGTTCAAAGAAACATAGATGCGATAATGCTCCTAATTTGAGGTACAATATCAAACTTTTTTGAAGATTCGTAGTAAGGATATTAATAGTCATCTAGCTGGTGTTGTAGAAATTATTGAAGTTTCATACGTGTACATTAGACATGTTGACAAGAATTTAGATCTAATTTGGATACAAAAGATTTAACAAGACTTGTCGACTTCGAGTTAGATGGATTTGATGATCTGTGTTTTTAACAAAGCGATTTTCTTAATCAATTTTAGTAGAATTTTGTTGACTCAGAACTTTGACGCAGCTGTATTGAGGGTAGTTAAATAAGGGGTGTCCCAAAAATTCACGCGAGATGTTAATTAAATAGAAAATACTCGATCATACACAGATAAAGGTCATGTTTGGATTAGCCAGCAAGTCAAATGATCTTCCCGACTTCGCTAGACATACGTAATCTTTAGTTGCACTTTTTCATCACCATTTTGCATAGAAGTGGCTGAGTCTTGGGTAAATTATGGGAAACCCTTCACTTGCGTGCTGTATAATAAATATGTCTATCAGCAGTGCCAAGTTGGTTATTTGAGGTGTCCTTTCTGAAGAGAGGTGATGCTCAAAGTTAAACATTACAATTTTCCCCGTTTCTTTTGCGTTTTAAAAAACTTTGAGAAGCATTACGGGAAATCAGCTCCGCTCCCACGTTGTATGTAATTAAGCCACATCACAGAAAAATTTTGTATGACGCATCACATACATTAACATTATCGCACTGGCTCACATCTAGGCGTTTATTTGTATTTTCTACTTGACATTTTAAAATAAATTTCTATAAAATTTAAATGACTGGAAATACAAATTGATGTTAAATGTAATAACTTTTTTACGCTTCATAAATATTCCTGTATGTATCATATTTTCTTACCAATATACTTCACCAACCATGAATTTTTTTGTTTTATCGCTCTCTTTTTTGAAATTCAGCACGTTTGCACATGTAATTTGGACATTTTGAGAAAAAGCGGATGCGCAACTAGTTTTCAGCTTCGCAGACATGTAAGTGTAGTAGAGACAAGAAACCAATGGAATTAACATCAACACAGATTACATCACGTCAGAAACAAACATTGATAGCTGAAGCATCATGCTGTTTAGGCAACACGTACAGCTACGGAAAGCATACAACAGCTAGTGCTGAGCTGACATCTTGCAGAAAACATAAAGTCACAAAAAACCTGCATAATGTCAAAAAACGACAAGTTGTCAATTTTCAAAATACGTAATACCGCTGCCGATCTGGGTAACCCAGAAATTAGAGACTAGAGGGAAAAAAGGGAGACAACTGTAAACGAAAAATGAAAAACAGCAATAAAAATGAAAGGCGGTGAAAAGTGCAAGATCATAGTCGAATCTAAAATTTTCTTACTAAGGATTTACATAGTCATTACTGCTCATCGTTTTCAACTTCAAATTACCTGGGAAAATCGTTTTTTGCTTTCCAGTAGGCGTTTCAAGCTGCATTCGGATTGGCTAGTGGTAGTTCAGAATGGCTAGAAACCTTGATGGAGCAACATCAATTAAAAACTATCCAACCAATAACTGCTCCACAGTGCCTTTGCAGATTATATGCTTCTGAAGTGTGATGTTTATCAACTCCTCTAGCAAATATGCATGGGAATGCAACAAACTTTTTGTTTTTATGCTGATACATCATAGATTTGTTCCTACAGTGGTCGGTGACTTTTCGGTGACTGTGTCTGGGATCCAGCCGTGTAAATTCCGTATGTATAGCGTAGCAAAATGTACGGAATTTGTGTGGCGGGATCTTAGAAAGGTTGGCGACTGCTGCACGAACAGGGACAATATCGGTGCCTTTCAAAAACTAGCAGTTCATAATAAGACAACCCAAAGAGACATATCTGCGAGAGTGTATACCAGCTATCGGTTGGAACTGTAAAGATCTCAGTTCGTATTTGATAACCGGGTTACTACTGTGACCGTTAGATGCTGTCGATTCTGGCGGTATAGTAGATGCGGTCTACTGACCCCCAGTAGTTCAAGTTCATAACGATATTGCGTAGTGAAATGGTATTGACAGGTTATGAGCACTTCTAATTCTGTTCAAGCAATTAAACTGGGTTGCTTGAGAACAGCTAAGGGGATCATGCATGTCGTGGCTGACATTCCAACTTTCTACAGACTGAATTATTATCTTGAGAATTCTATAAGCACTGGAGTAATAGCATCATCAACAAAAATCACGTGTAATTTATAACAAAGCCCGAAGCTTTATTAAAAGCCAGCCACAGCATACTGGTTTTCAATTAAGAAGATGCATGCCTCGTCGTTAGGGTACCGCCATTAAACGTATTCGTTAACAACTTAATACGGTGTCTGGATACTTTTGAGCTAGTGTGGGCATTAATTTTTTGAACAAGGTGGTCGACATCCCATGGTTTCACATCATTTACCTGCGGATGACTTGTGTTACTTTTCCTTCACTTCGCTTATTGAGTTGCATCAATACTGGATTATGGGGTGATTATTTTCGTGTCCGTATTTTGTTGGTTATTTGTGAAAGTTAAAACACCTTGCATACGGGTATGCAGAATTTATCACTGGTCATTTCATTAAAATCGGAAGGCGAGGGACACTGAACAAAAATGCCAAAAATTATTAAAATCGGATAAACATACGTAGGTGTTCACCTTTTTTGTCACTCGTGTACTCGTATACTATACCTGGTCAAGTTTCAGTTCGAGTTGAGCCTTTTTTTAGTTTAATTTTGAAGGCGTAAAAATTATAAAACCAATCTATCTGACACCATTTTTTGGTAATTCCGACGACCCAGGTACTCCAAAAACACAACCACAGATGCAACTGCCTGGAAGCTAATTTTTCATAAAGCCAATTAATTTGTTCTCCTAGTGGTGACGCCCCTGTCGCATAATTAAATTCTGATGCAAAAATGCATGTGTTGGCACTGCACAAAATTAAATTAACAACGCTCTGTTGGTTGAAAGCTGCAGACGAATTTACGTTTGAACGCACGCTGCTGCTGGATGAAACTCAAAATGGAGCAGTTAGGGGTTTATAGAAAATATTCTGGAAAAAATAACCAAGGTTTCAGTTTGTGTTAGGTGAACTGCGAATATTCCATGTACCAGCTCAATACCATATAACCACATAGGTAAATGATTTTGAGAATTGATATTAATTGATTTAACACGTTGTTAAAATGGAGCAGTTAAGTGGCTGGTAGAAAATGTAGGGAGAAAAAATGAGTGAATGCCTACTGGATGGGTATGATCCTATCTGTACAAAAATTTCATTTTTCAGTTGCTGTTGAATAGTTTAAATCATCGACAGAGGGATGAACAGCGCTATTTTATATGGAATCAACCGGAAAGGCAGAGTCTGAATACGAGTTGCCACAACAGCCATAAAGAGGTGAAAATATCTTATCCGCCCTAAACTTGAACTGCATTAGGTTTCTGTAGGACCACAAAAAGATCTGTTCAGGAACATTGTACCACACTCCAGAAATCTTAGGAATCAAGAGAGCGGTCGGCAGATGTAGAATAAGAGGCAGAAGCCCTCATACAAGTAGAGTATGGATACATGGGCAGAGCAGAGTATTAATCTATTCACGAATCAAACTAATACCATGCAACAAAAAGAGATAAACGCAAGGATAAAATGAGGAATTTTAGGAAAAATTTCTTTGAAATAAAAAATCCAGCATACACCTACCGTTATCAGGTCATGAATGTAAAAAGATAGCAATCGCTTGTTAATTTTCATTTCCTCGAATTGACATCACAGTAGTTGACACATATGGTGAATGTTGTCCATTTTAAAAACGCGCCTTCCAGGTATGAATGGCGTAAATGCACATGGCCTCCCGTGGAGAAATTTCTAAAAGGAACCTAAAGAAAAATCTTTCCATGTACGACCTCCCCTCCAAACGTTTTAAGGAATAAAACAATTTTTTCCTTTCCCCGACAGCGACCATTCGAAGACTTTATGTATTACTTTACCTTGACTTAACATATTTCGTCTTTCACCTTATGTTAGAAATGACTGCAGTAGCTTTGAAGTACTCAATGCACACATCGCTGCTACAATATAAAGAAATATTACAAATTCAAAGCAGCACCAAGTAAATAGAAATCCAAGTATTTGAACAAACCACCAAACTCCATTTATTTATTTATTTATTTATTTCCAACAGGTGAAACCCAATTACAGGAAATGTTGAAAAAATAACAATTAAAGAGACACGGTTCTTGGACTTAAATCTATAGTATCACACATTCTAAATAAGATTGGATGATCTATAGCAGTTAATAATCGATGCACAACTGTCACTGTAAATATCACACAATTCAGTAACACTGTTCATGACGCAGCACATGAGATTAATTGGCGATTTTGTCATAACATTTGTACGGCCAGCTTGACAATAGAATACCGTTTGTTGTCGACTCCCTAGCCTTGGAACGCGGAAACATATTTTTTCAAGTAAATTTTGACAGTCAATTTTATTGTGAATGAGGACATACACAAACGACAAAGCAAATATGTTTCGTCTTGTTGACAGTTGAAATAATAGGGCACTATGGTCACAACCTCTTTCTGTATAAGAACCTGTGCATTTAAGGTGAAAATACTTTAAAGCTTCACGTTGAATGGCCTCAAGGATCACGACAGAATGTTGGTATATAGGAGACCAGATCAGAGTCGCATACTCGAACTTGCTCCTGACAAAAGTAAAAAATAAAGTCATTAATGTATCAACATTGGAGAAACCCTTCCAGTTTCTGATACAGAAACCAAGTAGTCGAGTGGCAGCCGACGAGATATTGAGTATATGCTCAGTAAACGTTAGCTTGGTATCAAAAGTGACTCTAAGGTCTCTATAAGAGGTGCATCTGTCTATAACCTGACCATTGATGTTATAATTATCATAAATTAAATAGTTAACGTTTCTTGTATAAGTCATAACTTTACTTTTCGAAACATTCAGACTGAGACAGTTTCGTGAACACCATGACGAAATTAGAGCTAAGTCATCTTGCAACATGTCGCAATCCTCGACTGTCTTGACTGACGTGCAGATTTTAAGGTCATCAGCGAAAAACAAATGGAAACACTTCAGTTCAAAAGACAAGTCATTAATAAATATCAAACACAATAATGGACCTAGATTTGACCCTTGAGGGGCCCGATAGTAACTCGACCTATGACCACCATATTCGACAAATAACCTTCTATCCCTCAAATATGAATTCATGAGCGACAGCATTGCATCAGACATACCCACTGTTTTAAGCTTATCAAGAAGTGCATAATGATCAACTTGATCAAACGCCTTCTGAATATCTGTGTAGATGACATCAACTTGTCCCTGACCGTCCAGTACTTCAGAAATGTACTGAGTAATCAGAGCCAAGTTGGTGACCGTAGATCTGCCTCCCATAAACCCATGCTGATTAATAGAGACTGCACCCCTGACCGAGCAGTAAACCGTTTCATAAGCGATGATCTCAAACAACTTGCTGAAATTGCACAGGATTGCTATTTGGCGATAGTTGAAAATATCAGAGATATCTCCACTTTTGTGAATAGCACATGATGAAATCATATCCCCGCGAATTTAGAAAAGTCAATACATTAGTCCTTGAAAATGCTTATTACTCTGTGAATGAGTACTCCTGTCACAATATGGGATCCTGTTTTAATCTATTTTTCATTATTATTGTTAGTTTATCTATTTATTGTATTTTATAGGTATTTAATGTGACCATCTACAAATATTGTGCTATTTATACCTCTAGCTGTCGATCTAATTAGTAGACATTTATTTTGTATGTTGCCTGTTCACCAATATTTCTCTAACAGTTCATCATTACTTGAAACTCGATTATCCCTAATGGCAAAGTGGGGCACCTGATTTAGCTCTGCCTTGGTGCCCCTTCACCTGCAAGGTAGATCGTGTCCCCAAGAGGGGCAACATCGCTCCTATCTGCCCTCCCTGTGACTGCCCATGGATTCACCTGTAAATGGCGTGCATGTATGTGGATACATGGTTGCAGCACCGGAGCCGTAAAACCAGAAGCACTGAAATATAAACATCCAGGTTTTATCTTCCATAAAAAATAATAAATGAAACGGAGGATAAAAATGCGTAAACACGGGCGACGCGCGCACTTTTGAAGGTAATTTAGATGGAGTTTAGATAAGAGTCCAGTTGAGACCGCCTTTAAAGGTGATACCCAACGTTTAAGATTGTTTATGGAACACTTGGCGTAGCCGACGCTCAGCGGGCGGTGATTTTTTTTTGATAGTGTAGGAAATATAGTAACTCGCATACAACAAAATGATTCACAACCAAAGTATGCTTTCAGGATAAATAGCAAGCGTTTTATCGCCAGTCCGATTACAACTAACGAACGTTTTGCTACTTTGTCACTCTACGAACTGATAGAATCAACTTTGAGTGTCTGGCTTCAAGCAACTTTTTCGGTTAGTTGTAGATCAAATCATAAAACATTAGACAATTGATTAGATACCGATTTCATATATTAGTAAACTAACGCCTAGCTGATCTCACCCTGAAACGCAGTCAAATATTCCTGAAAATGACGTAATTTTCATTTAAAATATGCAATTTCTGAACCACTTATAATATTTCTAGACCTGATAGTAGCCCATATTATCCTGAATAAAAAAATTCTTACATTTTCTGTTGATCGGCTAGTGCCTGGAACAATCTGAGAGCCATAGTAGTCCGAAAGCTTCTAAACTGTCTCAAACAGTACCACTACTTGTCCACGTACCTGCCTCCATATCCTAATTCTATATTAACCATACTATGTAAGATCAGCATGTTATGGCGTCTTCAGAATTTTTGACTGTTAATGAACACAATAAAACCGTACCTCTTTAGTCGTTTAAGCTTGGATGTAGTAAAAAGTTCTTAATTATTTGTTCGATAAAAAATAACGGGCTTGTAATTCCAGACAGTAATAGCTGTCCGATGTCAACTGGTCCTTTAGGAAGATCGAAGTAAGCGACGAACATTGGTCAGTTTCAGCCCACTTCTTGAGACTGCCTGAGCTTGTAGTTACCACAATTTATGTTCTATCAAATTTCATTCGTTTCATGGCAAATTAAGTGTTGGCCTTAGATCCCGCCACTTTGACATCCCGAGAGTTTAAAGTATTGCACCCCATTCTATAACATAGCATATCCTAACCTGCAGTTTTCTACTCTGTAGCACGAGATATGAAGTTACACGAAAGGTGCGCAAAGGAATTAGTCATCGTGAGCTGCGCTGGTTCGAATTCCGCCCCAATTGAAGTTTTCTCTTGGTTATGGAGGTTGTGATTGTCCCTAGGAGGTAGGCGGTGTCAGACTGTCGAACGTGGAGGTACTACCCCGCGGATTTCTAAGGTGAAGCCAAAATGTTTGCATGTCGCATGTCGCGTGTTTCCCGCTGGAGTCTGTGTGACGTCCCTCTTTCCCCCTGTATTCCCTTGTTACTCCTCGGGTGGTTAGGAACAGGACTTTGTGGTGGTTCAGGTACAAAGAGACCCATTACCGGTAGAGTACATTAAAATGTTGTTTGTTTAGATAACAGGTAGGCAGAGCCGTATTTTCTTGTGGTTTTTCATACACAACGGATGAATTTTCTATTTGCTAACAACTCTTTTATTTTATTTAAAAAAATATATTATTTAACGTACCTAGATCAAATTGTTCACTAGGTCAAATGAGGTAGCCGCTAGTGCACATCTAGTGCCATCTACGAGAGGACATGGAGTGAACGACAGCTAGTTTCAAATTGACATTTGTTAGGAAAAATATTGGATTTCGTAAAAAATCCAACGCAATGTCACAAAATTTTTACGTAGTATCAAAAAATTCTTACCTAGTGTGACTTTTCAAGATTACATAATAACTCTGCCGGTGCAGCTTAAAGCTTCCAAAACACTCTACCAAAGAGATATAACTACTCCTTGACTAACAAGATACGAACTACCGCTATGTCAACGGGCTTTGCTCCTCCATGTCCGCCCGACTTCAGGCTTCCATCCTTACTGTGTTGAACTTCGTACGACGATACGACCACTCCATTGTCCCTAGGACATCAAGATTGTAGAACAATCTATACTAAGTGACATATAAATTCGAACACCCAGTTTAAACGGTTTTATTTTAATAAAAGTTGGTGAATGTATTTATCTTACTGTAAATAACAAGTGAAAAAATTTTCAGCCTTATCAGTTGGACATTCCGGTTTTTATACTGCTTTTTTTAATTCACTAACACTCTAAAAATGAATATTTCAGCCGCAGTAAAGAATCAACGTTGGCGGATTTTGGTTCTTGACATCCTTTACGATCGGTTACGATGCCTAGAGTACGGAGACCTGTACGATTTCG